ATATAAAACTTTATTTGACTTTTATTTTGGTCCTAAATATAAGATCACAATCCACTTTATCTCTCATATTTATGCATTTTTTCCCAAGATAGTCCTTCTAACAATAGTAATTATAGCTAATATACTTGATTAGTAAGGATATTTTAGGAAAGACAATACATATCTATTACAAATAACTAATTTAACGTCTTTTTTAATCACCTTAAATTAGTCAACTAGTTAGTAGTATTTTTGAACAGGTCCCTTCCGAAAAATCAAATGTGCAAGGACACGGGGCATCATCCCGTGGCGTGTAGCCTGGACGGTGTAGATCAAAGCTGTATTCACAAATGGATCATCGGTCGCTGGGGCACTTTCTTCTTCCTCATCGGAGGGTCAGCAGAGGAAGCATCCCTTGTTATTTGGGCAATGCCAATAACGCAATTCTGATATCAGGCAAGGAGCCATTCCACGTGACAGTTCAACGAACGAAAGATTGAAAGAGGGGAAGAGAGAACAAGCAAAAAAGGGAGGCAAAAAAAAAAAAAAAAAGAAAGAAAAAAAAAATCTCTGTGTCGCATTCTATATAGCTCTTCCTAGCTCGTCTCGTGTTCTCTCTTTCTCTCTTGCGGAGCCATGGCTGCTTCAACGTCCCTCGTTGGAAGTGCCTTCACTCAATTTCCTCCTTCATTTCACTCCAGAGATGATGCTCCTTCCAATTCGAAATCCACCTCAAATTGCTGTCGTTTCCCCACTCGATTGCGGAATAACCGATCATCGTTACTTACAACTCCTGTTTCTTCTTCTACTTCGCTTCGTTTCTCTTCCAGAAGGTGCTTCTTATATGCTGTTAGCGATTGCTTTTATTTATATATTTTCATTTGGAATTGTTTGTGTGTGCTTTGCTTGACATAACCGCCATGGAATTATTTTTCCATGTTTCTAGCTTACTTATCTTTCAGGTTTTAATTTTTTGTACTTGGTAAATATGCTTTTATGGAATTTCCAATTGGAAGCTCGAATTGGTATATTATCTTGTATGAATGAACTGATTAAAGAGACTCGTTGCTAATTCTCATTTCAAAGCTGAGAAGTGTCTGAAGCTACGAATTATCGTGGAAAGTATATCTTACGGTGTCTGATATTTTGCGTCTCAACATTATCTATGCCCATAATTAGACTGATTTGTTTTTAAGTTATTGAATTCCTGTATTGAATTCTGCGATTCTTATTTTGTGTCTCACTATTGTTGAAAGGGCTTCACATTATGCTGCTAAAGGTGGACTGAGTTTCCGAAGGAAGAATGATGGTGCTTGGAAGCAGTATACCTCCATGCTCGGTGAGCCAGTGACAGAAGGACTTTCATCCCCACAGTATCACTTAACTTCTTGCTGTCTTGCCGGAAATAGTCGAGCAGCCAATCTTAGAAGATTTGTTCCCAGAGTCTTTGTTGATAAATCCACTTCCCCATTGTTTAAGAATAAACTCGGTCATGCCCTTGTAAGTACTCCTACTTCACTTTGGCTGTATGTTCCTGCACCTGTAACTATGCAACTATATTGTAAACAAGTTGTTTATTGTTCGATTTTTTTTATGAATTTTTTCCCTTAATACAAAGCGCTTATCTTATTTTTTTCCCCCTATGATGAGTAGCCTGTTTTGTGAAGTACAAGTTCTTTTTCCAATTGCCATTGCATTTTTATTTGTTCCTTGCTTTCAAAGATCAGTTTCTGTACGGACATTCCACATTCTTGATTTTTAACTTTTAATTATATTTTCTTTTGCCTTTATTTTCATATTTACTTGCGAATCCTCATCATACTTGAGTCCTAAATACAAACAGTATGTGTTTTGTCAATTTTTTACTTTGTTCCAGATTTTAGATAACATGTTTATTTGACACTCTCAATTTTATTTGCTAGAAGCGATTTACATGCTATCAATTTTTGCAGCAATCTGATGCTTAAAAGTTGAAGATGTATGTTTTATTTTAATACTCCCAGTAGACATGTTAAATTTGGAGATTATCCTTCAGATGCCTATGTTTGTTTCATATCTGCTTTTATAATGAATGGTTATGGCGTGATAGCCTTCTAGGTGCAATCTTATTTCTTTTCCTTTGAAAATTATATTGATTTGGTCATTGAATTTTTTTTTTTTTTTTCATGGGTTGATCAGGTTCAAATTCCTCATGCTACTGTTGGTCCAGATGAGCCACATGCAGCAAGTACAGCCTGGCCAGATGGCGTTACTGAGAAACAAGATTTAGGCATATTGGATTCTGAGCTTGAGCAGATACAAGCATTTTTGAGTTCTGAACTTCCATCTCATCCAAAGTTGCATCGAGGTCAACTGAAGAATGGGCTGCGCTACCTGATTCTGCCGAATAAGGTTCCGCCAAAAAGGTTGGTTTTAGATGATGATGGTAGATATATAAGCTGTGATATATGGGCAGTGAGTTCAGATTTATCAAGCATGAATTTGCATCTATCTATGAACTACATCCTAAACTTGGATATAATAATTCAGGCTTTTTTTATTATACTACCCGCTACAATGAGTTTGTATGTCACATTCTTTAGTCAGTGTCAAGGAGGGCATGCTAGAGGACTTTTGATGGTTATGGGCAACAGGGACTGAGCAAAGGCAAATTGCTTTACCTCATTGATCCTGACTGAAAATAGGGAGAGTAGATTTCAAGTTTCATGCCTATTTATCCTACATATGCTGGACTAAGTGAGCGGCTTTAAGTGTATTTGGCTAGCTGCTATGAGATATAAGTGCTTTATCCTCTATTTTCTGAGCCTTCTGTACTCCTTTTTTCCCCTCATTTTTCCTCCACATAATTTAGGTACCATCTGATACTTCAGTGCTATGTTGGTAAAGCTTGTTAACTGTGTCCTAGAATAAATGCTATATCTAAATGGTTAAGTTTAAGGAAGCAAGCTCAGTACAGGAGGAAAAGTTCGGATAAATGATTACATTTGAGAAATGTTCTTTTATCATAAGCAAGAGCCCCTGAAGTGGTTCAAGGGGCCTGCGTGGTCCATTCCTTGTTTGTTAGAACTTTTGTGTGCTTCATTGATGGCAGCTCCGGAAGGTATACTAAAACTTTATATTAACCTGTGAGGAGGTTTGAGGGGACTGCATGGTCCACCCCTTGTTGGTTAGAACTTTCATGTGCTACATTGATGAAGGTTCCGGTACGCATACTAATGCTGTCTACTAATTTGTTGGATTTTAGGTTTGAAGCACACTTGGAAGTTCACGTAGGCTCAATTGATGAAGAAGATGATGAGCAAGGCATTGCACATATGATTGAGCATGTTGCTTTCCTTGGAAGTAAAAAACGTGAGAAGCTTCTGGGGACAGGAGCACGTTCTAATGCTTACACTGATTTCCACCACACAGTATTTCATATCCATGCTCCTACCAGTACCAAGGTTTGGAATGTTTGACTTGCAATTCTCTATGATTTTTTCCTGAAACTGAGATTTGTTAGTTTAAGAGAATTGTTGTACTGAAGCGTCATAGGCTCACAGCTGTCACTGCAGACCATCACTTTGAATCGGAGCAAGTGTCATCTCTTGTATTGTATAGTATATCTGTATTTCTGTATTGTATTTGATTACAAATTGATGTCATTTGTCAGGATTCTGAAGATGATCTACTTCCATCTGTGCTGGATGCCTTGGATGAGGTATGCTTTATTTTATTTTGCTTTACTCTTTGCTATGCAGTCTGCTTCTGGTCGCCCAAATGTAAAGCATGTGTATGAAGTTGTAATGCGTCTAATCTTTATATCTAAATGAATGGCCTGATGCTTTGGTTTGAACCCTGTCGGTTGTTGGCTTTTGGGATGGATATGAGGGGTAAGAAAGATAGTATGGATATGGGATAGCTTCTAAATAGATCATGAAGTGCAGGGAAGGAAGAAGAGAGAAGAGGAAAAAAGGAGAGATGTCGGTGGAAAATGGCTTACGGAAGGGGTTAAAATTATCAATTTTTAGCTTCATTGGGGTTAAATTTATCCTTAAAAAAATTTGCATGGGTTTCCGGTTATTCTTGTAATAGCTTTCATATGGATTTTTCAGTTTGATTCTTTTAAAATAAAATTTGCATTTAAAGTAAGCCCATTCAAGTTTGCTAATGGTACTTTTCAGATCGCATCTATACACTTACACCTCTTGATGTTTTCAGATAGCATTCCATCCGAAGTTCCTTGCTTCTAGAATTGAAAAGGAACGACGTGCTATACTCTCAGAGCTTCAAATGATGAATACAATAGAGTATCGGGTTGATTGCCAGGTGTGTATTAGAAACCCTAAGGATTTTGGCTGTTGATATGTTGACATTTGTGCAAAACATTGACCTTCTGTAATTTCTACAATCACAGTTATTGCAGCATCTGCATTCTGAAAACAAGCTGAGCAAAAGGTTTCCAATTGGATTAGAAGAACAGATAAAGAAATGGGATGCAGACAAAATAAGGAAATTTCATGAGCGTTGGTATTTCCCTGCTAATGCTACTTTGTACATTGTGGGGGATATTGATCACATCTCAAAGACAGTTCATCATATTGAAGTATGTTGAACAGCTTTTTAATCATTTTCGAAGCACTTCTTCCTGGCAAGCTTATTTTTCTGACATGTAAGATTCTTACAAAGTTACTATTGTCACACAGGCTGTTTTTGGACAAACTGGTGTGGACAATGAGAAGGCTTCTGCGGCCACTCCAAGTGCATTTGGTGCAATGGCCAGTTTTCTTGTCCCTAAGCACTCTATTGGGCTGGGTGGAAATTCTATTGAAAAGCCATCAAATTCAGTAGATCAATCCAAAATTTTTCTTAAGGAAAGACAGGCAGTTCGTCCTCCAGTGAATCATAATTGGTCACTTCCTGGAATCCACACTGATGTGAAGCCACCACAGATATTTCAACACGAACTACTTCAAAATTTTTCAATTAATATGTTTTGCAAGGTACTAATTCTTGTAGTGACTCTAATTGCTTGAATCGTGCTATTAGTGAATATTTGGTAGTTTTGTATGTGTGATTCCTTAGTAAGTAAATAAGGAGCATGAATTTGAGACAAAATGATTCATTAAGATGTAATGATAGCATAAATGATACTAAAATGTCTGTATGAACTTCTTAAACTCACCTACTTGATTGCAGTCTTGATTTACTACAATACTTATTATTATATGCTTTTAGTTATTATATGCAGTTAAACTTTGTAAATCACTCTCTCTTCATTAAATGACTAATAATTATCATGTGCAGGTTCCTGTGAACAAGGTTCGAACATATGGTGATTTGCGAAATGTGTTGATGAAAAGAATATTTCTATCTGCTATGCATTTTCGTATCAACACAAGATATAAGGTGTGGCAAAATCTATCGAATCTGCTATTTCCTTATTTCTCCTTTGTAAACGGTCATCGCCTCTGCTGTTACTTAGTGGTTTTTTTTTTTTTTAATTTTCTTTTGTATCTTTGAGTTTCAATAATTTGATTATAAGTGGCTTAGCTGCTCAAGGTCATGCTATAGTTTTCTGTGTTTTCAGTTGTATATTGATAGATTTTATGTCAGAATTTCAGAACTTTTGACTATAAATCTTAAGAATAATAATAACTAGAGGTTTGGGAATTTAGGGATGTAAATTTTCTATAAATATGTCGAGTTATTGACAGATAGCTACGTTCCTTTTATACTGTTGTATATATAGAGTGACATTTTTGGGACTTCATTTCTTCAGTTTATATAATTTTAGTTTCTCAATGTTTAAATCAATAATTTCATAAATTTTTTGCTTGTGGAAAAATAGTGCATTCCATGGTACAAATGTGTGTCTAACTGCAAACAAATTTCCAGAGTTCAAATCCACCGTTCACTTCAGTTGAATTGGATCATAGCGATTCTGGAAGGGAAGGATGTACTGTGACCACCCTTACCATAAATGCAGAACCAAATAATTGGCAAAGTGCCATTAGAGTTGCTGTTCAAGAGGTTTGTCTCTTTCCTGCTCCTTTTTTCCCTTTTAAGGGGTACAATTATCAATTTTCTTTTTGCTTGTTGTTTCTATTGTTCTTTCTACTACCTTCGTTGATATGCCATAGTTATCATATTTTTTTAACCTTTGATCTATACTAATATAATTGCTGTGAGGCAAGATGCTCAGTTTTTCAGTTTTAGGTGTCATTATGGTATGTTTTAGTAATCTGTTTCAGATTGGACAAGTTTTAGTAATCTCTTTCAGAAAGAAAACCTCTTTTGATTTGTGATTTCAAATTACCTGGATGATGGCTTACCTGTACTCATGATGCAGATCTAATGGGTTATGACATATACCACATAATGCAGGTTCGGAGGCTCAAGGAATTTGGTGTTACCCAGGGTGAATTAACACGATACTTGGATGCACTTTTGAAGGATAGCGAACACCTTGCAGCTATGATTGATAATGTACCTTCCGTTGATAATTTGGATTTTATCATGGAAAGTGATGCTCTTGGCCACAAAGTTATGGATCAGATGCAAGGACATGAAAGCTTACTTGCGGTTGCTGGGACAGTGACCCTTGAGGAGGTATTTTCATGGCCAGCCATTGGACGCTGTGCATTCTCTTCTATTAAAACCTTCTACTTTGACCCTCCTGGCCATTATTTTGTTGTAATAATACTTAAAAACAAATCCTGTTATGGTTTGTAAGTGCCTTTCTGAGACATAACTAGTGCTTAGGCATACCTCTCTTCGTTTTGAGGAATAATTTTTATGATATTGGAATCTTCTCATCTATCCTTAGAGTGGGGATTTTCTACTTCTTTAAGATTCCATACTCCTTGGATCACTGGAGAAGATGCTTCCCTACCATCTCAAATTTGTTTTCTTACAGCTTGTAATAATTTTAAATATAAGAAGGAAAGTATTAAAAAAATGCGTCTTGGGTCAACAGTCTTGATATGTACATTACGGAAGTATTAGGTTGTCTGTACCTGTACTCTCTTATATTTTGGCTAACTGTTTGCATTTGATCATTTATTTTCTCCCTTATATTTCTACTATAATTTAGAGCTATTTTAATTTTTGTTTAGTGGAAGTGCATTTCAACTTTTTGGTTGATTACGTTTGTAATCTTTTGGTGTAGGTTAATTCTGTTGGTGCAGAGGTGTTAGAGTTCATTGCTGATTTTGGAAAGGCTACAGCACCCCTTCCTGCAGCAATTGTTGCTTGTGTTCCTAAGAAAGTTCATGTTGAGGGAATTGGTGAAACAGAATTTAAGATATCCTCAAGTGAAATTACAGATGCTATCAAAGCTGGATTGGAGGAGCCTATCGAGCCTGAGCCTGAGGTGTTTTTAACTTCATTCCCTGCTCGTATGCCTTAGTTAAAATTAGAAGTATATGGTTTCATCCAACATCTAAGGATTTTGTGTCCGGACATTGAATATTTATTTTTCATCTATTGTGTTTCCTAAAAGATAGTCCCAATATGATTGGCAGCTTTACAATTCATGATTGGCAGCTTTACAATTCATTTGCTATGATATGAATTAAACACCTCAATCTGAAATCCCTAGATGATGAAAATTAATAGAGGAAGGCCATTTTCAGTTTTTGCCCAATTGCAACTTAGATGCTGTATATCTGGGATATTTAATTTCTGATAAACTAATAATTGCAAATTTTTGTAGCTTGAGGTGCCAAAAGAATTAATATCTTTGGCAAAGCTTGAAGAGTTGAAGGTGCAACGTAAGCCTGTCTTTATTCCTGTAAGTCCCAGAACAGATGGAACAAAAATTCACGATGAGGAAACAGGGATCATTCAACGTCGTCTTGCAAATGGCATTCCTGTCAACTATAAGGTATGGAAGTATGCCATTAGCTTTTTATGATGCCAGTGCATCTCTTGAGTTTCTATCGGTTATCCTATCCATTTGTGTTATGCTGTAAGTATTCCTTGAATTTGTTAGTAGAAATTTCTGCCCTGCTCAAGGTGGGCAAAGGCACAGGAATTGGTGGTGAGTCAGCAGGTATATCTGCAGGATTTGTAGTGATAGATATTAGAGTTTAGAGGGTGTCAACTATAGACTTGGATGGAAGGAGAACGAGAAGAGCCTCAGGGAACTTGGTGAGCTGTGGAGTTTTAAGAGTGTAGGGAAAGGTTTGAAGTAAAGCACTAAAATCAATCAGATTTAACAATGAAATCAGTAAAAATGTACGAGAAAAGAGAGTAAAAAAAGTATGAAAACCCAAAGTAGAATTGATTGACTAGAGCCACAATTAATAGTGACTAAGAAAATGGGTACTTCGCTCTATGGGTAAAGGTGATGTTGCACCAAGTTAACAGGAATCACCTTCTAAAGAATGTAAGAAATAAAATAACAAAAAAAGGTCAAGAGGCAGGAGTTGGAATCATCTTTTGACGCTTAGATGGATTAGTATGATCCAGATGGTTGTGAAGAAGTTCAGGTGAATAAGTGGAAGTGCGAATGACTGAGGATGTTTGGATAGTAAGATGATACAAACCTTTTTGTCTCACACCTGATTATAATAATCTGCCTCAGCCTGATCCTGTACTAGAACAGAATTATTTGATCAAGGAATGGAGGAATTAAGCGATTAAGCCAGTTTGCTTATAGAGACAAAATTAAACAGCAACGGATTGCTAAAAAAGGAGGGTCTATATGGATGCATGAAGACCTGTGCCAGCTTGGTGTTAATTGGTTTGCTGTTCTTGGGCTGGCCAAAGGCTCCCCAGAGCCCACATGATATCACCTTAAAGTTGAATGGCATGTGGTTAGCCAGAATGTGACTGGACTTGATAGTCTGGTTGGTTGACACTGAAAAATTTTAAACACCATAAAATACATTCTCATTGGAGCACTAGGTTTGCCGCTCTAGGCTATGCTACATGTAAAGAGTAAAAGAAGAAGAAACCCTTCGAGGGAAGTGTATTTAGTGCCTACTGATTAGAATGGAAATTTTCACTTATAGCTTCCACAGCACAAGTAATTAAACTCTACTAATTTTAGAGATAGTACAACAGCTCTATATACAGCAAGCATGCAGTCAGCATACTTCTGGTATTTACCCTATGCATTGATTCCAACAAGGAGAAATTAGCTTAAGAAAAGAAGAGAAATTAAATGAGGAAAATAAATTCTCTTACTGAAATGGACAAGGTGAACGTTTGAAATAAAGAAATTCAATCCCCCTTCAAGTCAACAATAGGATCTCTCACTCAACCCCCCCATCCCTACCCCAAAAAAATTTGTCCCACCTGGAAGCTGAGAAAGCAATTGTATTTGCATTAATTTTTATACTTCCACTTGCCTTTGGGGAGACAATACTGAAGACAACTGTAAGATTTGCAAATATAAGTTAGAATTTCAGTTTTTTCTTCTTAAATTAAGAGGGATTTGTAATAGGATTTTTCATATGATTTAACCCTTCGCTTTATGTCTGCAGATATCAAAAACAGAGACACAAAGTGGTGTTATGAGGTTGATTGTTGGTGGCGGACGGGCAGCTGAAAGTCCTGATTCTAGAGGATCAGTGATTGTGGGTGTTCGGACACTTAGTGAGGGGGGACGTGTAGGCAACTTTTCGAGAGAGCAGGTAATTTATCCTACTAATTTTTGTCTAAACATTGATGCGTGAAAAATGTTTCTAATTTCTGGTTACAGGAAATGTTACATTTCTTGGATATTTCAAAGGAGAAGGCTTTCCTGCCTCGTCTTAATTATAATTTATCTGTTATTGCTTCATAACTTAATTTATTTTTCTATTCTGCATTGAATTTTTCCCAATATTCATGTGTGGTTAGATATGCTTTTTTTTTTGGGGGGGGGGGTAGGGGAGGGAGATGAGGGTAACTTCTTTTTCCCCCTTTTTTGTTAAATTTATTTGTGGCATTGACTGGGGAAACATTATTATATTACCTGTTAAAAATATGATAGACAAGTTATTCATTCACAAATAAATTTCTAGAAAATGCTGATGAGGATAATATGGAAGAAAGGAACTTATTACGAAAATGCACACCGAAACATATTGCACGAGCACATTTATATGATTGTGTTATGGGCACATATCTAGTTGTCTGAAATTTAATTTGATAACAAGGATAGCATAGGTCTATTGCATTTATTGAAAGAAACTATGCTGGTGAAGGAAAACGTGTCCTTATTGTGATGGATGACTTGGGAACACATTATCCTATTGTGTGGGGTGTTCCTTTATGTGGGATGCTAATGGCTCATTTTGTACAAAAATGGAATGGAATGAAAATAAACTGGAAAAAGGTAATGTTTTGAGGATGTACGATGACCTTTATGCCCAAAAAGTAATAAAGAGATAGAAACCATTGAATCATGATTATGAGTTTATAATAGACATTACAACATAGGGAGGGAATGGGAATCCCATTCTCTTGAACAAACCAACTGGGGCATTGATGTGCAATGTTACTGTTATCTCCTTCATATTAGAAATTACACTTCTGAATGTACTTTATCTCAAAAGGCTTTTACCTATAAAATATTAAGATCTATGCCATTTGAGCACCATGAATGCAAAGATATTATTGACACTAACACGTAAAGGCATTTGCAGCATTTCATTATGTAGACAAAGGCTAATATTGTTGGGCCCTTGCATTTGTCAGTTTTTAAGAGCTCAAAAAAAATGCTGGTTGGTGTTCATGACCACAGATTTGAGACTTCATCTTTGCTGATTGTTGTATATTTTACTGATAATACCAGGTTGAACTTTTCTGTGTGAATCACCTGATAAATTGCTCGTTGGAGTCTACAGAGGAATTCATAGCTATGGAATTTCGTTTTACTTTAAGAGAGAATGGGATGCGTGCAGCTTTTCAGTTGCTTCATATGGTGCTTGAGGTAATAATCTTACCAAATATTACATGTTTTTTGGCTATTAAGCCTGTCCTCAGCCACTTGTTTTGCGTCTGTAAATGCTGGCTGTAGTCCTTGAACTGCATTTTAGGTGCTGAGTTATAATGATTATGAGAATTATTGCTTTGTTTTCCTCTGTTGTATGCCTTATGTGGGTTTTCTATGTGCAGCATAGCGTCTGGCTAGATGATGCTTTTGATAGAGCTAGGCAATTGTACCTGTCATATTACCGATCCATACCTAAAAGCTTGGAACGCTCAACTGCCCATAAACTCATGGTGGCAATGATGGATGGAGATGAGCGATTTATTGAGCCTACACCAAAATCTCTAGAAAATTTAAGTTTGCAATGTGTTAAGGATGCGGTGATGAATCAATTTGTCGGTGATAACATGGAGGTCTGCCATTAACAACCTCAGGGTGCTGTCCTGAAGGAATTATATCCCAACACTAAATACCATATTTGATAAATTTATCTTGTTTGTTCTGCAGGTAAGCATCGTAGGGGACTTCACTGAGGAGGAAATTGAATCTTGTATTCTTGATTACCTTGGGACAGCACACTTCACCAGAGATTGTGAAGCAGATAAAAAATTAATCCCACCTGTATTTCGGCCATCTCCATCTGATGTGCAGTTTCAAGAAGTGAGAGTTTAGGGATATTATTTCATTCCCCCCCCCGGGGGTTGACTTTGTAGAACCATGTTAGGTTTCATAGGTTTTCAAACTGATTGGCTATGGTTTTATGTTTTAGGCTTGTGACACGTGTACTTTTTGCTTTTGGACAGGTATTCTTGAAGGACACTGATGAGAGGGCTTGTGCATACATTGCTGGGCCAGCACCAAACCGTTGGGGTTTTACTGTTGATGGAGAAGATCTGTTAGAGTCAATTAATAATACGTTAACAAGTGATAGTGGGTTTCTGCTTGATGTCATACATTATATTAACAAATTAATTTTTTTCAGAATAACTGTTCAGATTTTTTATCTTCAAATGCTCAAATTCTTGTGCAGTTGCTCAGTCTACATCTGGTTCTCTAAAGATGGGTGATTTGCAAAGAAATCTTCGTGGTCATCCTCTTTTCTTTGGCATAACTATGGGGCTGATGGCTGAGATTATAAATTCTAGGTACACTGTCCTCCACGCATACAGTCAGCTTGGATTGAAAGCTAGACCCTAGACAAAGCTTGAGCAATGCCATTACTATTTTGTCCAATTTAAATATTTAATCGTCCCTATAATTTTTCCTCTGATCTAGATGGAAACTGGCTAATCTTCAATAGTACTACAGTTTGCTCATTTAAAAACTCCTCATAGCCACCAAAAAAAAAGAAAAAGAAAAAGAAACAAGAAAAAAACTTACAGCTTAAATCTCTTGTTAAACTGAAAAGCCTTATTCATGAATGAATTGATGGAGAACTTGTCCGGCTCTGCTAGTGGAAGATGTTCTGCTAGTTGTGCATTAGATAAGATGAATATTTTGTAAATGGAAGTTACAAGACTTGAACTTGTGTTTTTGACTACTAAAAGTTTGATTAAGATTAGAAACACGTTTTAGAGATTGGTGGATATATGCAAAGCATATTTAAAAAAGCTTGATAGCATATATTCCCGCAATTAGTTAAAAATGTCTAAAATTTTGGAAATGTGAGGCAACATAGGGATATTTCATTATTTTACTGGGTGGTAGAGATATAAGCCATGAGATATAAGCCATCAGCATCAGGCTTTTATATTTATATTGATGGTCAGTATGTTTTCTGGTTGCCTGCATGCATGATAGCATTCTTTTTTCATGCTTGTAACTTTGCTTACAACCTGACACATTACATATTTCGCTGAATAGGCTTTTCACAACTGTTAGAGATTCATTGGGCTTGACTTATGATGTGTCATTTGAACTAAACCTGTTCGATAGACTTAAACTTGGATGGTATGTGGTATCAGTGACGTCAACCCCAGGCAAGGTGTGGGTTTCATTCTTATTCACACTTGCTCTCTCTCTCTCTCTCTCTCTCTCTCTCTTTTGGCATCTAAGTTGTTATTGCCTGTTGCAATTTGTTTATTGGTGGTAACTCAAATTTTATTCAGGTGCACAAAGCTGTTGATGCATGCAAAAATGTTCTTAGAGGTCTGCATAGTAACAAAATTACCGAGAGGGAATTGGACAGGGTTAGTCATTGGATTTGTTTGTGTTGTGCTTACATTACGTTTCAGCATCGACATTTGTCTTTTGGATACAAGTCAAACTAAGAGAACTGGGAAAGCTTAGCCACCTGCTACATCCGTCTAATGTCAATCGGACCCTAAATTCCTGAATATCTTTGGGTGCTTTTGTTTATTGTAGGCTAAGCGGACCCTTCTTATGAGACATGAAGCTGAAATTAAGTCAAATGCCTATTGGCTGGGATTGATGGCTCACTTGCAAGCTTCTTCTGTTCCAAGAAAGGTGAGATGAAACTGTTTGAATCTTGATATCCAGTTATAATGATCAAATCTTTAATCTTTTGCAAATAAAAAGTAGACTTAGTTTTATTTTGAACAAGTGGAAATTCTGTTTTCTGTATAACCAAATTTAAACTGAAAACGTTGATTTAATCTAATCTTTCATATTCATGCTTGTTTTTGATGCATTGATGTCTACGTTGAATGTGTCATTCAGGACATATCATGTATCAAGGATCTGACATTTCTTTATGAAGCCGCAACAATTGAGGATGTATACCTTGCCTATGAGCAGTTAAAAGTAGATGACAATTCTCTATATTCATGCATTGGGGTTGCTGGCGTTCAGGCCGGGCAAGATAATGCAGGTGCACAAGCATTCTCAATTTAACTCGTAGTAGATCCTGCTTTACTCTTTCTTAATATTTCATTTTAAGCTCGTTAACCACCCCCCCAACCAAAAAAAAAAAAAAAACCGCTGGAATTAAATTGAAACCTGCACCAAACTCCAGTTGTAATTTAAACTGAACTGTAAATAAATTGGAATCCTTACTTTTGTGTGACGGACAGATTGCCTATAGTTGTAGTTGAAGCATTTTGTTTTCAAAACTAGTCTCTGATGGTGATGCTTGTCTCTTGTTAACAATTTGTTGCATAAGTGGTGGTCGAGCCCAAACTGAGACAGTATTGCTTATTCTGTGAAAAGATACCTCAACAAATAATGATAAAAAAGTAGTAACAATCATCAATTGATGTAAATATTTTTTCTTGGGTAAAGTAAGGTGCCATTGCACTATAATCCTTGCAAGATTTTTCATTAACCTTTCAAAGCATTAACTATGCTAAATTAAGCATAATATTAACTAATACAGGTCGGAGTTCTAATGTTCCTGAGTCTATTCACCTGTGTAATGACTTTCTCATTTCCTAGGTATCCGGCAATGAGTTGTTACTCTTGAAACGTACTTAAATTCAGAGGAGTTTGATGAAAACCCTAGGGTTGCTTCTGAAATAACAGTTCAAGCAATGTGAAAAAATAGAAGATATTCTAGCTCTCCTAGATTGCTAGAGGTCTTTACCAAAATTCATCCCAAATTTCTCTTTCTCCGTCCTCACCCCTTTGATTTTTCTTCCCCCAGATAAACTCCTGGAATTTCCTCTGCATGTATTTTCCCAAGGAATTATTCAGCACCTTGCTGCCAAATATTCCCTTAACAGCCTTTATTGGGATTCCAATTCCAGCTTTGGCCTTATAGATTCCAAGATTGTTTCCATGTAATAAAACAAGCACATGCTCATGCCAAAATAGAAAAAGGGACCTGTGTCTCCCTCAGGCAGAAGTTGGAATAATAAATACTAGAAGAGTCTGTTGTGTCAGAACAAGTACAATTTTGTGTTTCTGGTTGCTTATATACATGTGTGTGTATTCTTTAACCATATTTTTGTGTCAATCTCGCAGCTACTTTAGAAGAGGAAGAAGCATCTGATGCTTATCCAGGAGTTATTCCTGTTGGACGTGGTTTGTCTACAATGACTCGGCCGACAACATGATTTTTCTAGATGGTTTGTCATGGCCTGGTTACTATGAAATTTGGAGGTACAGTTTGATTTCGCTTATGTATAGGCCTTCTTTTTCTTCTGCAAAATTAAATTTTTTATGCCTTAAATCTTTTGTTTCATTGGAGGGTGAATAACCATTAGAAGGGAATTTTCCATGACATAGGCTTTTTATGGTCTCCATGTGTGCACTCGTGCGTGTGTTCTCCATTTACTTTGTGTTTTATACAGCAGATAGGAGTAAATGCATGTTTTAAGAATTGCAAATACACTTTCTTACATTATTCAATTTTTATGTTGTAATTCCTATTAAATTTATGCTCAGAAAAGTTAAATATGATTTTAGTCCTGTAATTTTCCCCTTCATCTTTGTTATGATGTTTTTTTTCCCTTTATGTGGTTAATGTTAGTTGTTTACTCAGTTAGGCTTAGGATGAGTTGCCCGGAGTTGTTAAAAGCAAGTTTAGTTTTTAATGCATGTTAGTCGGTTTTTAGTATATTATAGTAATATATTTGCTTTTTTATTTTTGGCTAATTTGTATTATACTGTTACTCAGAAGTCTGAATTATATACTACCTCTAATCCTTAATATAAGAGCTAGTTAGAGATTCAATTTGGTTCTAGGTATAAGACCTCAATCCACTTTGTATCCAGTATTTATCTATTTTGCCCTCTAAGTATAATCCCTATGGTAATTGCACATATCAGGAGTTTTTATCAAATGGTAGTTCTAATATCTATGATTAACAAGGGTATTTTAGAAAAAACAATATCCATTTGTTACAAATAACTAACTTAACTAATTTTTTTAATATTCGCAAATTAGTTATCTAGCTCTTATATTAAGAATTGGAGGTAGTATTTAATATGGTATTGTTACATTTCAATTTGGCGGTAATAAAGCTATGCTTTGTAGCACTTGGGACTAGTGGAAAAGGATTCCTGGTCATGCAATAGCTATCTGTGAAGTATACAGGTGCAATTGAGTCGCTTTTTTCCTAGGTGTAACAGAGTGGTGTGTTTACTATATTCAATCTTAAAATGTGGTCATGAAGTATTGTGGAAGTGAACGAGTCGCTTTTCTCCTAGGTGTAACATACTGCTTACTTTGCCCTTCTAATTGACTACTCCTCCAGTCTTAAAGACCCTTATACACACTAGTATAAAGGTCTTATATTTAGTGTGTATAAGGGTCTTATATTTAGAACCAGAGGAGTATTTCAACAATTATATGTTGCTACAAAACTGTTCATTTATCTCATCTATGATTATGTGTGCTTTGGTGGTGGTGAGGGCTGCACTAATTTTTGCATATCCTGGCAGGAGTCATGTTCGGAAATTTAAAGGATTAGGAGCATACATAATGGAGCTTGCCTCATCGACTTTCTCACAAATCAACTATCAAGCTGTTTGACATCCAATGATTAATGATTAACCCTTTTCAAGTGCAAAAATAGCAAAGTGCCCATAAGTATACACTAAAAAAGCGGATATTTTAGGTGGTAAAATTCTTTGACACCTTATTTTGTTTTAATTCCACGGGCTCCTTCTGCGCCAGTAATTTCTGATTGAGGAACTATTGCCTTGTACCCAATTCATTTCCTCATTTTTGGAGGTTTTTATATTCTTGGCCTTCAACTGAACCACCTATAGCATATCATTGCTACCCATAAATTTGTACGAGTTAAGAATGGAGAGAAGAAATAGAGAATCCGCCACTAAGATGTATAGCTGCCGTATTTTTGGCCCTTGGCCTTATTATTTTTAGGTACATTTCTTTGGCCACATCTTAGCATGGGAAAGTGGTGTTAGCTCTACAAACTGTAAATTGTTGTATAACCTATGTAACATGAATTTGTTAATCTGAAATGAATAATTGTCTCCTGCAGGGGTACGGCTTTTTGACTCTTGCTGGTTTGTTGATCGTTACTCAATAGAATGGGATGGTCTTTGTATACGCTTACAACCGGTGAGAATTTAGTGTTAGAAATAAGAAAAATAAATCTCTCAAGGTACCAAAACACCAGCAAATTTGAACAATTAGATCAACCAGAAATATATAATCAGACAGAGTCTTTGGCCTTCTAGACCTAATTTTGTTAATCTGACAGAATAAGAGCATATGGTGATGGGGGTTTAGTTTTCCAAGACAATTTAATAATGCAACAGAAAAGGAGTGGTAAATTCTTGTTCTTAATGTTTATGATGATTTTTATTTCCCCAAAATAGACCATTGAAAAGGATTGGAGAAATTGCTCTATATCATACTGTGACACTATCGTGCATGAGAGACACTCTCCAGCTCTTTTGGTGGGAGCTAATTTTCAATCTTGCATAGAGAATTCCAAAAGATGAAGTTGCCCATGGAAAACAACTCAGATTTGTTGGTTAATTGCATCCTTGAGCTTCAACAATGTTGTCTCGGGCCCTGATTCAACAGCGGGGGTGGGGGAAAGCGTTCTTCCACCGGACAAGGAAATCCTTTGTGACCCTTGCTCTGTTTTCAAAATAACATGCAAAATATGTAGAGTCAGTGAATCGACATCAGAAACTAGACTTAGAGAGTGAGTTTTGCGATAATGGGCTGAGTTGGATTTAAGTTGCTTTTATCATGTCCAGCGCTAGTTAAGCTTTAATTGGGCAAGGGAGGGAGCAAATTTGAATTTGCAAGGCAAATTAAGATCTGATGGGCCCTTTCTTGCCTCATCAATTAAAGTTCAGTTTCCATTCAACAGAACCTTTTCGATTTAAATTCAAATTGGGCATGACCTATCGTTGGAATGCTTTTTTGAGTATAGTTTCTAGTGTAATAAGATCCATTCAAAAAATTTTCATATTTTTAAAGTTATGATCAAAAGATTGAGCAATTGTTAGAAAAATGTTTGTGTACACATTGTGGCGGATAGAACTGGGAAAACAAGCTAATCCTATGAGACTGGCGGGTTTAAAAGGACTGGCTTTACAGAGTCGAAATTTTAAAAATATCTCAATTTGTTAGACTCGGCTTTTAAGTAGATGGGCTGAGGGCCAGCCTGTAGCCTTTCGGCTTGTTTAAAATTTTTTTTCTATTTGTCATATTTTTCACATGTTTTATCAAAAAATGAAAGTAAACCAATGAAATTACTAGTAAAAGATATAAATATGAATAAAATTAAGTCATAAATACAAAATATCATCATATCTAAATGTTCATCAACATATTAAAAACCTACAGGGTTGGCCCATTTATTTTTAAGCCCTACAGGATTGGTCCTTTTAAATCTAAGTTCTCTTTGAAGACCCCAAATTACAAGATCAGCCATCAACCTAAACGGCACAGCTTAACGGGTTCGGTCTGTTTTTCCGGCTCTAATACTGGCGGATAAGGTCACAGTCATGACATTTTTACATTATTTTGAAAATTTTATATGTATTACTATTTTTCTCACTAACATGTTTGCTAAATGGTTAATGTTAGTTTTTTTCCCCCCAACAAACGATTAATGTTAATTGACTTACCTATCATGGCATTTTGATCATGATTTTAAAAACTTCATATGTATTTTTATATCAAAGTAAAGTATATAGTGTGAGGTGCCTATGACAGTATGGTTTATGGCTGGATTTGCACCTTAACTTTTTATAAAATATGGCAAAAATGTTGAATATGTTGATGGTGGTCAGGAATCTTAACTCACGTCGATAGTATACTTTAAATCGGACAAGAAGTTTGAAGAAAATTAAAGGAAATTCATATAACCATTCTTGTGCATCCTTAACAATGTAGCATATTTGCCGAACTCTATAATGTGGAATCTTCGTTAGTTGTTACAAAGTGTTTCACACGCAAGGTAAAATATCATTAACAGTCGATGAGGCCAATATCTGACGAGAAACTCGAAACCTAGGGTTTTGTCCGGCCATGCAGGTGGCACTCATATATAAACCAGAGAGAAATACAGAACAATGAATTGAAGAAAGTGAAGGAGGAAATATCAGAAGCAATGTTTGGAAAAGTTGAGCATGAAGCAGAGTTGAACGTGCCGGCAATCGAGGCGTGGGATCTCTTCAGTTCGCTTCGGATCGGAAAAATTCTGGAAAAAGAGCTCTCCATTTTGCAGAAGGTCGAAGTCCTTGAAGGTGATGGAGGAGTTGGAACCATCCAGAAACTTACATTTAAACCAGGTGATACTAGGCCAACGAATAGATTTCTACGTACTGATTTTCATCTGTGGGCAAAATCTAATAATAATTGCATACTAGTCAAAGATTTTACCAATAAAACTTCATATTAGTTTGGGTTCAGTAACATTCAGTACCGTTAAGTATTATTCCAGTAGCATTAATCAATATTTTAAACTAATTTTTGATGCATTCAATATCTTAAAATATTTTATAGCATTCATTGTCGTGCCTCTTGGTACTGAGAAAACTATTTGAAAGGTAAAATTACACTAAACATTACATTAAGATACTAAATACTATCGAAAAAATATTTTAGATTACTAAATTGTATTAAAATTAGTTTAAGATAATGGATGTTATTGGAAAAATACTTCAAAATAATGGATGTATCTTAATCCTATGAATTTTATAAATTAAAGGAGTTTATAATTATATTGAATGGAAGGGAGTCGAAGTGATAGTTAAAATTTTGATAAATTGAAAAAAGAAATCATGTTAAGAATTATGTTCATGTGTATATATATGAGTGCCAGATACAATACATAATAATAGAAGAAAAATTACTATTTAATTTTTGAATGTAGGGGGCTGCTATAGATAATTTTTGAATGTAGGGGGCTGCTATAGATAATTTATGAGCGATCAACAACTTTCCTTATATAAAATGACAACTACCATCTCAAAATTCAGAGTATAATAAAGTGTTGGTAAATCAATGACACTAAATCACTAAGAAATGACTTTAATCATATGAAATAATCATAACTACTTCACATTAACAAATAACAACTTTAGTTATATAAAATGAGGTCACTTCATTGGTAACAATTCTAAAAGCCAAAGATAATACTCCTCCAGTCCTTAATATAAGACTCATTTAATTAATTTGATTAGATTAAGAAAGTTAAATAAGTTAGTTAATTATAAGAAATATGACACGTTTTTCCTAAAATACCATAATCATCTTTCTCAATACTCCATCTTCCTCTTTTACTTGATTATGTTTGAGGAAGTATCTATAAGGGTAATTTAGAGAAAATTGATAAACATGAGAAATGAGTCCTATATTTAGGACTAAAACTAACTCAACAATTGGGTCTTATATTAAGGACCGAAGGAATAGTTGTCATTGATTAATGTGGTGTTGTGATTTCACACACACACACACATATATATTACGTTGTTAATCCTTAAAGTGAAGTAGTCATTCCATCTATGTTGAAAAACTTGGTTGGCTTTAGAGGGTGTTTGGAACACCCCATAATCACTTTTCAGAAGTACTTTTTCGCAAATCTAGATAAACTCATCCACATATTTACTTCGTATACCGTAAAAGTACTTCTAAAATTATAGTTTTGTTCTTACCCAAACACCTCCTTAGTGGCCTAACAATAACATAACTTTAACATTTAGAAACCAAAAGTAGGGGAATCATATCCCACCTTTGACTATCCCAACCCCAAAAATTATCCAGTCATTGGTCAGTAGGGATTGGCGGCAGGCAGTGGAAGGATTTTTTAACATGAGGGCACTTAGGTCATTTCACAAAAATTTGTTTCCTATAGATCTCATTGGAATTATGTATGTAATTAATTTCACACTATCATTTTAAGATTTTACATATTTTGGTGGCAATGATATTTCATGCTCTCTACAAATTAAGTGAACATTCATGTATTATAATTGATCTCTGTTTCTTTTTTGAGTTGGATATCAGGTTTTGAAGGACCGGCAGGCTACAAAGAGAAATTCACAAAGATAGACAACGACAGACGGATAAAAGAAGTAGAGATAGTGGAAGGAGGATACTTGGAGTTAGGGTTTTCTGCGTTTAGGGTTCGATTAGAAGTGATAGAGAAAGGAAAAAATTCAAGCTCTGTCAAATCAACAATGGAGTATGAGTTCAACGAGGAGGCTGCGCCTGTTGCTTCTCTCATCAACTCACAAGTTTTGGCTGAGATTGCTCTTATTGCCAAAACTCATCTCAACAAAAACAAGCCTCCAGCAACCTAGCTACAAGCTTAGGCAAAGACAGTCTCATTAAATTTTTAATAAAATTTTCCCTCCTTAAAATAATATAGGAAAAAAGACAATAAAATATCCTAAAAATTGGTGAATTTCAAAATTCTAAATAAAATCCCTTACACTATTTTAGAATTTTTAAATATTTCAAAATGGTACAAATGCTCTTCACTATTTTCTCCCTTTTTTAAGATTGCGAGCTCAATACTCTTGGTCGGTTTTCTGCTGTCGGAGCTCTGGTGCTAGCCTCCAGTAGTTGGCCACTGGAGCTTTGGTAGCATGTCGCCAGAGTTCCGGTACCAACCTTTAGTGATTGGCCACTTGAAAAGTTAGAAAAGTCATGTTTTTTTTTCCTTCTTATTTATGACCTTCATTTGGTCTTCAAATGGAAATCTGTGCCATTTTACCCACATGGAAGGGCTACAAAATAATCTACTCTTCAAGTCCTATTTATAAGGCACTTCCAGCATATTTTATATGGATCAAGAAAAACCTTAAAAATGCATTAACTCTCTATTAAAATATAACAACTTTCCAACTTTACCCCTATTTAATATGTACATCTTTCAAAAAAATAATTATCTATACTATAATAAATGAAGGACAAAATAACACATTCATGCTAAAAATTTAATGAAGTGACTTATAAATAGGACAAAAAAAATCTTCTTTCTCTGTTCTATAAACAGGACCAGAGGAGCATATTCTTCACATTTACAAAAGTAAATGTGCGCGCGCGCACATCGCATTGAAATAGAGATTAAAACATCAAATAAATGACTGTAATGATGATATATTGTTTATTTCAATAATTCATGATTATTTTAACCTAAAATATAATGCCTCCACTTATTTATATAAAACCTAGTTAACTAATTTGAGAAGATTAACAAAATTAAAAAAAATTACTTAGTTATAGAAATATTTAAGTGTGTCATTAGATTATATATTATTTTTGCTGGTCAAAAGAGATTATATATTATTTTATAAGTCGGGCAAATTATTTTGAAGAAAAACAATAAATATAATACTTTAAAGTAATTTGTTTAGTTTTTCTTAATTTTTAAAAAATTAGTCAACTGCATCTTATATTAAGGACGGGATGTAGTACTCTTCCGATCCTAAATATAAGACCCCTTTTGTAATTAAATTACACTGTAAAGGGGTCTTATATTTAGGATCGGAGGAATATTATATATCTATTATATTTGTAATTGAGATATGTTAGTATTTTAAGTCTTTTAAAAACTCTATTCATATCTAGCCTATCCATAGGGGTTTTTTGGTGTTAAATTTTGTGCGACATCTATTACTTTTCTCTGATTACTTCTCTTTAATTTCCAACTGTTTTATCCTTTTTAATTCTTCTGAACTTTTCGTGCACTACCAACAAAATAAGTGAGGCTCTTTTGCTCTTCCAGAGTAGCTTCAGAGTCTCATTTGTTCGATTCTTATGCTTCTTTCATAGCCGGCGTACCACATTTTATAAATAATGGTGCTTGCCACTATTTAATTTAATATTTATTAAACTTCGTATAATATATTAAACAATTATTAACATATGATAAAATTTATTATAAACTATACTATTAGCATAGTCTTTCCAAAACGATATTAAAAATTAGGGTTAATTAATCCGCAAGTCTTTATAGTTTCAACGAATTTTGAATTAGGTCCCTATAGTTTTTTTTTATCAGGTCCTTATACTTTTATCTTTTTTTAATTAGGTCCTTGTATTTATTTTTCTTTTAATTAAGTCCTTATAATTTCACTAAATTTTTAATCAGGTCCATGTAGTTTTGTTTTTTATTTATTAATTAAATATAAGCTTAATTAAATAGATTAATACTGAAATATAACATATTAATAATTAAATTAAATTAATAATTATGTAATAAAAAAGTAATAGAATTAATTAATTCAGGAAATTTTTTTAGAACAATTAATTTTTTTGCTGAAAAATTAAAATCATTATAATAATTCAATATCTTTAGAATATTATTGTTTATAAACTAATATTAAATAATATATACTATTTTATGTTTATATAATAGTACTATTAGAATTTATAAAATAAAGAATAAAAAATTCAGGGACTTAATTAAAAATAAGGTGAACTTATAAGGACTTGATAAAAAGAAAAATAAATGCAAGGACCTAATTAAAAACAGGTGAAAGTATAAGGACCTGATAAAAAGAAAAAAAAAACTATAAGGACCTAATTCAAAATTAGTTGAAACTATAAGGAGCTGTGGATTAATTATCCCTAAAAATTATATGTATGTCTATTAATATATGTTAAGATCACTCAAATCTCTCTTTTATTTTTAAAATATTGGTTAATGCCATTTTTATTCTCTAAAAATTTAACTTCATTTTAATTTTGATTTCTGAAATCTTACATTATTTTAGTTTCGGTCCTTATTTACAGGGACCAAAAACACTGTTTTAAGGGGGGGAATCTATAGAGGTGCGACTAAAATTAAATTAAATTTCAGGGATAAAAACCACTAGTTTCAAATTTTAAGGATTAAAACAAAAATGAGGTTAGACAGGAACTAAAAATTAAATTAATTCTCAAAATATATACAAACTGGCATTAAGATAGAAAAGAGATTTGTGTAATTATGCACCTAAGACGTCAACATAATTATTTTTATTTTCATTAAAAGCTTTGACTAATTTCAAAAACATGGACCGAAAAGATTGGCACTGTGTGAACAAAATTTTTACAAGTCCGCGTAATTTGTCCTTCATAGAAGAAGTCCATAAATAATTTACGTATTTTACAAGAAATTCTGTACAAGTTTCGAAAGTGAAAAATTCAGTTTTTTGCTGGTACCATGCTAGCTACAGGCGCACGCACCGATCGTCGGCAAATATTATTATTTTCTTGTTCTTTTGAATTATTATTCCCAGTTCACATACGTCGACGCACTACTTGACACAAATTATTTCTCCTTCAGTCCTAAACATAAGATCCATTTTGTAATGTAAATATACTACAAAATGAGTCTTATCTTTGGAACTGGAGGGAGTATTATAATATTTACTATTCCTGTCTTATTTATAAGTCACTTCCAGTATATTTCACACAGATCAAGAAAAATTTTAAATTTTATTAACTCACTTAAAATTCAACCACTTTTCAACTTTATCCCTATTTAATATTAGCTCCGGTTCTTAACATAGGAGCTGGTTGACTAATTTGAATAGAATAAAAAAACTAGTTAAGTTAATTATTTATAATAGATAGATGTTGTTTTTCTTAAAATATCCTTGGTAAGTGTATTGGTTAGAATTAGTATTTAATATTAGCTCCGGTCCTTAACATTGGAATCTTATGTTTAGAATTAAAATAAAAATCAAATGAGCTATTATATTAAGCACCGGAGGTAGTATGCATTATATCTCATTTAAATAAAATCAACACAATAATAAATAAAAGGTAAAATTGTACATCCATGCAAAAAAAAATTTCTCAATGCCTCATCAATAGGACTAAAAAATATATTCTTTCTCTATCCTATAAATAGGACCAGAGGAGTATTATTGTTATTGTTGTTTTTGTTGTTATTACTGTTATTCCCATTTCATGTACGTCCACACACTACTTGACAACATAATTAGAAGGAAAAAAAGAAGAAGAAAGAAAACAAATAAAGATTGGTTTGTACAGCATATTCCGGGAATCTTAAGGGGGCATTGTGATTAGCAATTCCTAAGATTTGTCGCTATTTATCGTTCATTACGAGCATATAAATCACAAAAGACTCAGAATACGCACCCATTTTGGATTAGAAGAAGCTATTGAGTGCAGAAAATCAAAGGGAGAACATGTCTGGGAAACTTGAGCATGAGCTAGAGCTCGACGTGCCGGCAAGCACGGCGTGGGATCTCTTCGGCACGATCCGGATCGCAGAACTTGTTGAGAAAGAGATGCCAAGTTTGTTTCAGAAGGTGGAACTTGTTGAAGGTGATGGAGGAGTTGGAACCATCCTCAAATTGACGTTTGTACCTGGTAAGTATCTCACTCGATTTTATTCTACCGGAATTAAGTTTTGTTGTGAAATGACCTAATTGCGCTTTGTGAAATAATTAGTTGCCATTTAACAAGTTAAGGTTCTTGTTATACTTGTTAAACTATTCTTGCCGCCATTGATATTCAGCAAGAATTTTTTTCTTGAAATTATTTAGATTGTTGTTATCATTTGAATTTCAAATTAAAGTCATTTAGGTAATCTTACTACAAAATTTAAACTTAAAACTAGTTTTTAGAAACTTTACCGCGCTTAGACCAGTTCGAGTAGGAGGTCTTGAATTGGGATATGCATATATACTACATCCGATCCTTAATATAAGAGCTAGTTGACTAATTTGAGTAAATTAAGAAAACTAATTAAGTTAGTTATTTATACTAAATATATATTGTCTTTTCAAAAATATGCTTGCTAATCAAGTAAATTGACTAGAACTGTTATTATTATAGAACTGCCTTAGAAATAAATAAATAAATATGAGAGACAAAGTGGATTGGGATCTTATATTTAGGATTAAAATAAAAGTCAAACAAATTATTATATTAAGGACTAGAGGTAGTATATTTGATGGATATTTTTGTGCCTTTTTCAAAGTTATCCTTATCCTAATATTAATTGCATTGAGTTATTTGGGTGACATGAGTTCGATTGATTAGGTACGCCAGGGCCATCATTTTACAAAGAGAAGTTCACAAAGATAAATAATGAGGATCGAATCAAAGAAACTGAGGTAGCAGAAGGAGGATACTTGGAATTAGGGTTTACTGTGTTTAGAATTCGTTTCCATGTGATAGAGAAAGGAGAAGAATCGAGCATCATCAAATCAACAGTTGAATATGAACTCAGGAAGATGCTTTGGCCAATGCGCCTATTGCTTCTAACGCAATTCAATCCCTAGCAGGCATTACTCAAATGGCCAAAGCTTATCTCAACAAAAACAAGCTAGCCGATCAACCCAACTAATGATGAGATTAGTATTCCATGTTTAAATTGGTGGCCTTTTTTTTTTTTTTTAATAGTTTAGAGTATTCTCAAGTTACTTTGAACTTAAGACTAATTTTTATCAAGAATATTATATAAATCTCTATATTTTTCTTTTGCAAATAAATCAGGTTTCAATTGTATTAAAATTACATATATATATATATATATATATATATATATATTTACGCTGCTCGTGGATATGAGTGTGCTGACCGTGAGTGATATGGACATGCTAGTTGTGGTTGATATGAGTATGTTTGATTGTGATAATAAATATACTAATCTAGATCTATTTATAAGTCACTTTCAACATATTTCATACAAATTAAGAAAAATCTTAAATTTCATTAACTCTCATTTAAAATTTAACAAGTTTTTAATTTTATCCTTAATTAATATATATTATACCTCATGAAGACAAAGTCAATATAATAATAAGTTAAGAATAAAATTAAACATTTATATATACCCCTTTCATGGGCTTTCTATAGCTTATTTTAAATAATTTTACTATGTATGAGATAAATATATAAAAGTAATTTTATCCTGTAAACCGTACAAGTAATTTTTAAGTGTGAATCCAACCAAACCACCACATAATACATTTTATAAAGGAAAAGTGATAGAAAAGAAACCTGAAAATGACTAAATTTTAAATCAAGTTTGTTTCCTACATTTTAACAGGTTTTAAATATACTTGACTTGCAAATAACAATAAATTAACAATTTTTTGTAGGAATTTCTTATTTGAGATTATACAATTTTTAGGTTCTTTTTCTGTCATGCTCCCTTTAGAATTGTAAATATTATTAATTAAAATAATATTATTTATTATCTATTAAAGATTATGTTAATATAGTAGTATTTCAAAAAAATTAAAAAATATATAATTTTAATAAAATAAAAATTCTGACTTAATTTGATTTATTTTCCGCAAATAATATTCTTCCAATTCACTACATCCACATGGTGCGCACTTCACAAAAGGAAAGATAGAGGAAAGAAAAAATCAAATGAAGTTGAGTGCTGTGTAGACTTCTTACATCAAAGGGAGTCATTGTGACCACAAATTGTAAAGCCAGAGACATTTAATTTGTCCCCACATGAACCTCATTGTGATCATATAAACCACACAACTCAGAAGCAACTCAACAGAAACACAACATATACTTCATATTCTGCAGATCAAGCTACGCACTGTGTTTAGAAGTCTTGTTGGTCTGAGATGGCTGCTGGGCATCTTGAGCATGAGCTTGAGTTGGGCGTGCCGGCGAGCGAGGCGTGGGACCTTTTTGGCACGCTGCGACTCGGAGAATTTTTTGAGAAAGAGATGCCAAGTTTGTTTCAGAAGGTGGAGCTTGTTGAAGGAGATGGAGGAATTGGAACTGTCCTCAAATTGACATTCGTACCTGGTAATTTGAATAGGTTAAGAAAATTAGTTAAATTAGTTATTTCTTAAACTTATGTTGTGTTGGTTTTCCCAAACATACCCTGTCAAATCATTTAACATTGCTTGAAGCAAAACACATGCAACTAACAGAGACAATAGTAAATATGAAGGACACTGAAGATTAAAGTCTTATATGAATACTCGAATTCAACCTCCAATTAGTTATTATTTTAGGAACATGAGGTAGTATTAATCTTTGTAATATTTAATAGCAACATGCTCTCATTGTTGTTGTTTCAAAAGAAAATCTAATTACATTCATCAAGATTTTATAATTTATAGCTAGAAAAATATTATGCAGGGTACATTAGGGCCAACTTTTATCCAAAATGTTATCTCGCTGCCTTTAATCTTTAATATAAGATACAGTTATTTAATTTGAAAATATTAAAAAAGTTAAATAAATTACTTAATTATAACATATGTTACATGTCCAATTTAAAATATTTATGTGTCTTATTAGATTATTATATACTTTTTTAGTCTTTAATGTAAGACCTAATTAACTAATTTGAGTAGATTAAAAATATAATTAAATTTATTAATATGATATATTTTTTCTAAAATACCCTAAATATCTTTCTTAAATCTTTCTCTCTCTCTTCTACTTGATTGTTGTTACGATAATATTAATAGGGTTAATTTTAAAAAAAATTGATAGACATATGAAATAAGTCTTACATATAGAACTAATATTAACTCTTTAATTAACTTCTACATTAAGGATAAGAGGAGTATTAATTTGTAAACCAAGCAAATTAGTTTGAAGAAAAACTATAAATAAAAATACATTAAAGTAATTTATTTAGCTTCTTTAATCTCCTCCCTAAATTAGTCAACAAGTCTTATATGAACCAATAATAGTTAAGTGAAATTGACTTGATTCCACCTTATTAATAAATAAATTTTTATTGATAAAATTAGATCACAATACTCAAATATAATGCAACAATCTTAGATATCATATAATTGTAAAGAAAATGTATAATTTTTTAAAACTGTTTACTAATAATTGCAATTCCTTTGACGGTGTGAGATTAAATAGGTACACTGGGGCCAACCTGTTACAAAGAGAAGTTCACAAAGGTTGACAATGAGAACCGAATAAAGGAAATTGAGGTAATTGAAGGAGGATATTTGGAATTAGGGTTTACTCTGTTTAGGGGTCGCTTCCACATAATGGAGAAAGGTAAAGATTCAAGCACTGTGAAATCAACAGTTGAGTATGAACTCAAGCAAGAGGCTTCTGAGAATGGCTCTATTGCTTCCAATGCCATTCAAGCTCTGGCCAACATTGCTCAAGTTGCCAAACAACATCTCAACAGAAACAAACTTGCAGATCCACCAAAATAAACTACATGTGTGTGTATTTAGGATAAAACTTCCTTTATCTTATGAGATTTGAATTCAATACATGTGTAGCTTTAATTAACTTTTTTTTACACATATTTATGGGTTAATATCATTTTAATTTTTAAAATTTGATGTCATTTTGGTTTTAATCCAAAAATTTGACTTTATTTTGATCCTTCTAAAGATTTTTTTTTATCCCTGAAATAGTATTTTTCTTTTGTCTCTAAAACTTTGATTCAAGGATCAAAATCACTGGTTTCAAATTTCAAAAAATCTAATTAAAATGAGATCAAATTTTGGGAACTAAAAATATTATTATCCTTATATCTATGGATGGATTCTATGTAGCAAAATAATCATAGTGTGTGCACTTGTTTTTTGTGTGTCGGCACGTAAAATTATCCGAAATTATTGTGTGTTTTTGTGATTTGACTTGAATTATTCGGCTTGCCATTTAATTAAAACATGTGATTTGATATTTTATGTGTGTTTTTGTGATACATTTCGACAAACTGGTGATGTGATATTTTATAAAAAATAATCCTATCAAGCAGTGAATGATTTTGCGTTATTAAAAAAAAAATCTGCTCTGGCTCATATTTTCAAAAATTTCATGATTGTGGGAGATTTTAATAATATTATTAGTTTAAAAGAGGGGAAATTGGGGAACACCCCATTAAAAATTTTATTGGTAAGAAGGTCAAGTACCAATAATCTGTGTATGTACCAATAATTTTATTGGTAAGAAGGTCAAGTACCAAAAATCGGTAGAGAACTAGTAGTTTTTGCATGTAAAAATTTATCAAATCCTCCTCATAAATACACTTTTTAATTAGAGAGCTTTTCCGAATTTTCTCAAGACCTAGAAATCAGTGCAATTTATTTTTGTTTTCATAAACAACTTGTGTACGGTTAGAAAATAAAATTTCCTACGCACATCCACACATATGCTTGAGAGTAACAAATAAACTGGGCTACAAATTTTGGGAGGGGAAAAATCTTAGCGAGGCATATTGTGACCACACAAATTAGAACTGTGCTAGGACCTTACAAGACTTATCCTCGCGTGATTTTTGTTGTTGTGAGCATATAAACCACACAACTTGGAAAACTCCCACTCATCGAAAACAACAGAAGCATTTATATTTGGTGGAAAAGAAGGTACTGATGTAACCCTGATTATTAGATCAGCTGGCTGGAACTGTTTTAGCTTAACCACGAGTTTTGAATTCGAGACCTAAAAATGTCCCATCTTAGAGGCCAGGGACGCCAACCTTAATGATTCCTGTTGTTATATCCCGAGAAATTTTACCTGACATAGAAAGTTAAAAATTGGAATAAGGGCCAATGTAGAAACTAGACTGGGAGACAAAATAACTTTTGAGATAAAACCCCGATAAGATCCGGGCTACCATTTTCGTAATTATTAGTTTATGAAGGACAAAATGGGAAGTTTGGAGAAGAATTCTAGAAAATTCTCAAAAAATGGTAAAAGTATAAGTTAGAGGTTTTAGAAATTTGGTTGATGCCTGAAAGGTGAAATTATGGTGAAAATAAATTATTATGGAATTTCCCGTGAACGGAGGTTTTCGGAAAAATATTAGAAAATCAGAAGAAAATAATTATTTTAATTAGTTAAAGGCCTCAATAATTTTGGAAAAAAATGGAAAAATTATCTAAATATTTATTTGAATTTCTAAAATTGGTTTTAGGCCTTGAAAGTCCATGAATTAATTTTAGGGAATTTATTTTCCCGCAGTAACACCGATAGAGGCCTAATCGGGAAAAATTCAAAATAGATACCTAGAGGTGGCTAAAAATTCTGAAAATTTACAAATCATGTTCTCATATTAAAATTTGAATTATCATAGAGAGAAATGAATTTTTGGAGGTCTAGAAAAATTTTGGAATGTTGATAGTGAATAGTAACTGATAAAGTTTCAGAATGGTTTGGAATTTTGATTTCGATTGTGGGCCATATTTTTGGGCCATCCTAAACCATTTGTGGGGCCCAAATTAGGCCTAATTCAATCCCAATTTTGTGCAGCTTCTGGGCAGCTCTATTTTTAATTAAATAAAATGCAAAATTAGGAGATAATTGTTGAAATAATCTAGAGCTTGGATGCATGGATAGATCTGAAGCTATGAGGCATTTAATGGCTGCCAACTCACCTTATTTCAGCTAGATCTGAAGCTATGAGGCATTTAATGGCTGCCAACTCACCTTATTTCAGCCATTTTGGATGTCCAAAAATCAGAGGGGAAAGGCAGCTTGGTTTTTCTATAAATATCTCTTCCTAAAATATAAGAAAATGTTGGAAAAATTGGGAAAAAGAGGGGAGGTGCTACCATTTTCATTTTTGATCAAGGGAGACTGAATTTGTGGAGGTTTTGGATAAGGAATCATTCAACTTACATCAAGAAAATATCAAGGTATGCTTAAACCCTCTGATCCCTAAATTTCAAGCTAGTTTAGTTAGAGTTTTGGCTTGAAATTCTAAGGCTAGATGCTGCCCCATTTCGGTCTATCATGAAAGGTTTAGGGAAGGATAGAAACCTTAAATATCAAGTGGAATAAGCTTGTTTAAGTGGTATATGGAATGGTTTTTGAAAGAAAATACACATTTCGGCCAAGGGGTGTTCTTGCTGGAAGAGTTTGTTTTGTATTGATTTGATGATTCCAATGGGTTTAAAATATGTTTTTGTGTAGGGATATACTAAAGAGAAGTGTGTAAAATCATTGGAATCAAAAATAGAAATTTTAGAAGCTTAAAACCCCCTATTCGGCCAAGAGGAATTCATGGGGAAGAAGTTTGATTTTCAAAAATCTGATTCCATATTTGAATTCCTCATGAAAAATTGTGTAAAAATGAGTCATGAAGTTATTGATTTTTAAGGAGGAATTATTTTGTTAAAAATCCAAGAAAAAAGGTGGAAATGTTAAGTTAAAGAAAAAGTATTATGTTTAAGTGGTTTGCTATTAATGTGGCCTATGCTTATGCTTGATTTAATAGGCTTTGTGAGGGGGAATTAAGGAGGATCATTGTCCCTTGAGGAGATCAAATTAATCAAGTGATAAAAAGTAGCATTGAATTATAATTTGATTGTTTATCTTGTTTGTTTAATATGATTATGTTGATTGCTTGAATTGAAGAATTTATGTGGTGATAATGGTTGACTTTATGACATTTGTTTGTGCTTTGGCTAAATACATAAAAATATGTCAATATGAAATTGTTGATGTTCCTCTTTTGGTATGATGCGAAATATGATTTTATGTGACTTGAGGATGTTTGAAGTTTATAACGTGTCACATTATACTTGCTTGATTTACATGACGATTGTAATTCATTGCTACTGAGATTTCAATGAAATCTCACTCCCCTCAATATATAAACAGTCATAGGAATCCCAGGTGGTGTCACTAAGAGCAAGGAGAAAGAAAAGGGATTCACTTGGAAGAGGAGGAAGTTTATTATTATTGAAATAATACTACGTAATTATATACATTATTATGTGTATGTATGAAATTATATCGAATTGTTGTATCAGTGATAAGGGTGCCTTACATGTGAGTAATTGGTTAAGGAATCATGATTAAGTATGTGTCATATGATTAGGAAAGCTAGATGAAAGGAAAAGGAAAAGAAAAAGTAAGAATGGTATGAAAAAAAGATAAAGGTTGACTTTTTGAGAGTAAAGTTTGACCAATGTGATTTTGAGCAATAAGATGAATCTGGATTTGAAACTTGGCATGCTTATAGATCTCATTTTTAGCTTTAAAAAAAGTGATAAACCATTAAATTTAGAGTTTTGTGCTAAGAGTTATGCCCTTTCAAAGTGGAGCTAAAATACTAGAAATTTAAAATTTTATCATATGAACAGTGCACATTGTCAAATTCTCTGGTGCTGTTTCCGATAGAATTAAGGCCAATGAGTATTTTTCCCTTGAAGAACTCTTAGCAAGCTTCACGTGAAAATTGGAATCACCTCATTTCAATTTTTCTAGAATTAGTTATGAATTTTCAAAGTTGATCTAAAATCAAGTGAATAGTGTACGAACAAACCGAATTGGAAGAAATTTAAACTTTGAAATTTCTCATTCTTAAGCTATGGGAAATGGATTATAATAGTTCCAATTAATGGATAATATGGTAATAAAAGAGGTGTCACACATGTCATCCCTCGATCCGGATAATGGTTCCAAATGCTCTAGCTCATATTTTCAACAATTTCATGATTGTTGGAGATTTTAATAATATTATTAGTTTAAAAGAGGGGAAATTGGGGAACACCCCATTAAAAATTTTATTGGTAAGAAGGTCAAGTACCAATAATCTGTGTATATAAAATCGGTAGAGAACTAGTAGTTTTTGCATGTAAAAATTTATCAAATCCTCCTCATAAATAAACTTTTTAATTAGAGAGCTTTTCCTAATTTTCTCAAGACCTAGAAATCAGTGCAATTTATTTTTGTTTTTATAAACAACTTGTGTACGGTTAGAAAATAAAATTTCCTACGCACATCCACACATGCTTGAGAGTAACAAATAAGCTGGACTACAAATTTTGGGGGGGAAAAATCTTAGCGAGGCATATTGTGACCACACAAATTATAATTGTGCTAGGTACCTTGCAAGACTTATCCTCGCGTGATTCTTTTTGTTGTGAGCATATAAACCACACAACTTGGAAAAATGCCACTCATCGAAAACAACAGAAGCATTTATATTTGGTGGAGAAGAAGGTACTGATGTAACCCGACGATTAGATCAACTAGATGGGACTGTTCTAGCTTAACCACGAGTCTTGGGTTCGAGACCTAAAAATGCCCCATCTCAGGAGTTAGAGATGCCAACCTTAATGGTTCTTGTCATTCCTCGATCCGGATTAGTCTGAACCTGTTATTGCGCATAAAAGATGGCCTGACTCAGGATACAAGATGCCAACGGAAAAAAAAAAAAGTACTAATGGCTGGTAGTGTTGAGCACGAGCTCGACCTTGGCCTACCGGCAAGTGAGGCATGGTATCTCTTCCGCATGGCATGTCGGCTGGCGAGTGAGGCATGGTTTCTCTTTGGCACCTTGTGATTTCG